TACCACAAACTGACTGAACTAGAAGTGATTTCCCAAAAGGTTTGTGCTCAGAAGGCACAGTTGCTGGCTGTCAGACCACCATAAATGGAAAATATGAGAACAAAGAGAGTACTCAGTCATAAGCATTGTATTTAATATGCATTGTATACAGTTAGTTAATAAATGGAAAAATGTCATATTTGTCATATTTGTAAGCACAACTCCATAGGTTTAGGAAATGAGAATGCTCAGTTCAGAAGCACTGTTTTGCTATTTAAAGGGTTTTGCTCATCCACTGTTTTCCTTCAGAAAGCCACAAGCCATGTAGATCACAAGAAGTAAACAGAATCAAAATGACAAAACTATGCATGAGCTCCAGGTTATTCCAGGATACAAAATTTAGGAGGAAGAGAATAATAGGCTAAATAATATTCTTAAGTTATTATAAATTATCAGAAAGATATATTAGCATCAGACTGTAAAAATGTCTAAACTTAGACATCAGTTTTCACAGAGACTGTTATCTGACCATAAGGGATATAAAATGATATGTGTGCTGGCATGAAACTCTGGATAATATCAGAAAAGGCCACTTCCAGTACCTGACATGGAACCTGGGGAAAAGATGGCTTTTAGGAAATTGTTAGAAATTTCTCTGCCTACATCATCTAGTTCCATCACTTGCCGTTATAGATTTCCCATCTACATTGTGTCATAAGATACGTGTCTGAACATGAGCTTCTCTCATTCTATTTGAATTCAGTCTTTTGGAAGCAAGATACTTGTTTCCATTAAAACTTTGCTATGATCCAATTATAGGTGGCAGCTAAATAAACTCTAGGGAAGCCTCAGGAGACCTGATTGATGTAAGTTTTCAAAATGCCAAATCCACACCAAAGTACAAGGGCTGTGGCCACTTTTACGAAGAGCCATGGAAGAGGTAACACTTTTTATATAGTATTTTAAATAACATACAATAGATACATTATAATAGATATTATATGTATATAATGCTATATATTACATATTACATAAACCTATTGATTTAGCTATTCAGCAAGGAATTCTGAAACATTAGTTCAATTCCCTCTTCATCTTGAGGGGAATGAAACCTGTATCTTTTACCTCAATTTGCCAGACTACTACTAGCTTGCCAGGAATAAAAAGCTGGATTTCAGCAACCCCTGTGGTGAATATCAGTGTTCGCACAACCAAGTAATCGGGCAAGAAACAGAGCAACTACGCAGGGATAACCTCGTGGTCAGGACATTCATCTGGTTCTTTTGTCAGGATTATTTTTAAAATCATAACTGAAACTCCCTGGTCTCTTCCTATACCTCACTGAATGCCCTAAGCACAAGAATAACATGTGCTTCCTCTTGTTTGCTCTCCCGTGGTTCCACAATCCAACAGAAGGTCAGGTTCTGTCAAAGGGAGGAGATGCGACCCAGCAGATGGGTGCCTGTGTTCAAAGAAGCACTCCTGCATCTTGGAAGCTGTGTATACCAAGCAACTGAACCACAGATAGAAGTCCGGATCTGTTCCTGTTCTCACTAGTTACAGTGGGCTAGTTTCAATGAGGTACCACCTCAGTGGTGTTTGTCTGGGAAGGACATTTCCTGAATATATCCAAATCTCGCAGTTGACTATAGACGTGCCATTGAGATATTTGTTGGACACTTATTACATGCAAACCCCTGTTTTTAGGTCTTCACTAGGTCCTAAAGTCTTAAAAAATTTTGTAAATGAAAATGATGCATCTTATTTAGATAGAAGAAGTTCATTAAAGGAATTAAAAAGTAGGCAATGTTATTTTAAAATTAGGAAAGCTTCAATCTTGAAATGCAGATTTTGTTGTTAAAATTCTTCCTACCAGTTGGAAGTAAGTGCAAACATGTCTCCTTCCTTTTATCTCCTTTTCTTTACGAGTGAGTCATAAATTCAATCTATTAGACTGAAAAGGACTCTATACGTTTCCTTCAAATTACAAAAGGCAGTTACTGACCACAGTATAATTGCAATGCTCTGTCTCCACTACTTAGCTATAAAAAGATATGTTCTAACACACTTATCTCTTTGTTTCCAGAAAAGCAGTCTATCTTGAAATTCAGCATTTGGATAAGAAAACCAGTGGAATGTGTAATTCAGAGGCCATTTGTGTCAGCTTTGTTTGAAATCCTGCTCTAAATCTGAATGACAGAGAATGAATGTGGCCTCCCTTCATGTGACACGAGCTGAAAAGTTATGAGCATTAACAGCTTTACAGTCAGCTCCTTGAAACATGCAACTGCATTTTAGTAGGTTTTCTTGAAACAGTATTCCCTATATTTAGTGCTTCATATCATGGCACTTTACGCCACATTCATCCAGCACATCATATTCACATGGCACAGCACAACCACTGAAGGAAAAATAGAGGGAAAACAGCAGAAGAAAGTAAAAGTGTAGAGATAAGGCATGAGGTGAGAAAATATATTACCTACAACTTGGTATTCACTACCTTAATGGGGAAAGGAAGCATATTTAAATTTAAAATAGAAAAGTAATAACTAAAATCACATTGTAAATTTTCATATCGAAGTGCTTTTCAGTAGCTAGGTTCCTGTGTTTAACAGGGTAGAATGAAACAGAATATTTATGAAGCATTACAAAATAGCCATTCATTGGTAAACTTATCTGAGCTCCTTCACAACAGAATGCATGAATTTTGTTTACACTGACATTTAAGATTACCCTTGAAAGTAACCTTTTTCCAGTTTCAGCTTTACAAATTGGTCTGTTCTGCCCACATCTTAACTTAGCATCTGCACTGCAGACCAGTGCATTTGCTACTTAATCCTTCCCAGAAGCCCTCCATGAAGAAATGAAATCACTGTCATCTCTGCTTTCAGACTTGACCCCGATTATGACAGAAAAAAAAATAAATAAAAGGACTGAGGCATTTTGAACTTCTCTGGGTGAAGGGTTGCCAGGACAAGAGAGAGGAGAGGGACATTTTACAAGGGCAATTAGTGATAAAACAAGGAGGAAAGATTTAGATTAGACATTGGGAAGAAATTCTTTACTGTGAGGGTGGTGAGGCACTGGAACAGGTTGCTTAAAGTTGTTGGATGCCCCACCTCTGGAAGTGTTCAAGGCCAGGTTGGATGGGGCTTTAAGCAACCTGTCTAGTGGGACATGCCCACGGCAGGGGAGTTGGAATTAAGGTCCCTTCCATCCCAAACTATTCTATGATTCTATTACTCTGTGATGACACAAGTGAGTGGTGTATACACTGCACAGCTACATACCCTAATACTCAGTTTTCTTAGGATTAAGCTAGCTCAGTTTCTAGCACAAGTGTTTAGCAGCTCTGGATTCATGTTAAATGCCATTACAGTAATTAAAAACAAACTTCTGTCAATTCTGGAAGAATCTGTACTTCCCATTATTTTAAGTTAATTGAAGGTAGAATTGAATGGGATTTTAAGTATTACATTTGAGCTCTGCTAACACATAGCACAATTCTAGATTAAAGGGTGTTTATAGCTGACATGGTAAAAATCACTTAAGAGATAAGTCATGAGGTAAACCCATTCAAGAAGGAGAACTTTACGAACTTTATGAACACTTTGAATTAAGCTCATATTTTTAATTTAAATGTTATCCTATTTCAAAAACAGGTGGAAAAATTATAATAATAGTAACCTGAAACAATGTAACTTATTAAATGAAGTGCAGATAAGAACTTAAAATGTAACATAGCATAACAAATGTAGAATAAAACTATTAGTTTTAAGCCTATTAGAATGTTAATTGATGATGCATTTGAATAACCACAGAAAATAGTGGATATGTAGCCAATTAAAATTTAGGGAGACCCTCTTGACTTTGCAATAATAGAAGTCCATTTCCTACTTTACTAAAATTGAGGTAATGACAGAACATGACAAATCTACAACATAATGAATCTACTCTCTACAAAACCAGATAACATACACTTACAATGCAGAACCCTACACACTGATCAGAGTGTGACACACTGAAGTTCTACTGTAACAGAAGAAACACATTTTTGGAAGTGGACATCCACATGTAAAAAGAAAAATGTCTTAAGCTCATACTGTCTCCAAATGCAAGCACAAGGTATCTTACTGCAAGTAAATTTTAAATATAAAAGAGAAAATCAAAATAAGTATCTTAATAATTTCCCTCTCAGTTGCCATTCCCAATTTAAAAATTCAATCAGCAAGATACAGACAGGGTTTTTTGATAGCTTTAATCATCTTCCACTACTCTCCGCTAGTTATGCCTATTGGAGAAGAAAACTAAGAAGAGAAATTATGACAGAAAGTAACAAACTGCCAAGGTATGAAAGGACAGAAATATAATTCTAAAGGAAATCGTCTTTCATTTCAAATATTTCTTTGAACTGACTTATAAAATGACAGATAACATGTTCATGAAGAGAATATAATTTGAGTTTATTACCTCATCATAACCAGCATATTATAAACTAATTTGGGATACTCAAAATTACATAGAATAATGCACAAAGAAATGCTACCTCAGAGTTAAGGAGCTCTGAATCATATGAAGTACTTCATAGTGATTTTCTCTGCCCAAACTGCTCTTTAGTCATATAGAACTTTGCACATTTCCAAATTTTTCTTCTGAGTCTGCTTCCTCAGATTGATACTAGTTTCTAAAAATCTCAACTAATAACAAGTCAATGACCTGCTGCAGACAAGCAACTCGTAACATAGTAGAAAAACTTGTATTTCAGTGTTTCAAAAGTGAAAAACAGAAGTTTACAGAAAATCTTTCCACAATAGTTTTAAATATTCACCATCAGCAATAAATAATTCATAATTCAAATCACAGAGCAATATATAATTTCCTTCAAAACAGTAACTTGTCATACAAAACAGAAAAGAAATTATTAGTAATTCTGTGTAGAAAATCACATGTTCAAAAAATTTGACTATCTATAGCAAATAACATTTACTTATTAGATTTATGTTTTTATTATAAGTTCTTACCTAAGCTGTTTAAAAGCTTCTGCTTTTACAAGTGGTGTTTCTACAGAGTGTTCAAAAAGTGCTCCTTCAGGCCCTGTAAAAAAGAAAAAAAAGAAAGAAAAATACCATAATGTAATAGAATGAAAAAAGAAGTAACAGTTCTGATATGGTCACCTTGACATCAGAAATTCAGATAAGAAAACATATATTAAGAATTATAAGACAATAAAATCTAGCTACATTATTACCATTACAGTATTGATTGGAACAACACAATACAGAGCTAATGTAAATGTACATTAAATTCTTAAAATGAAATCTTTGAAGGTAGAGAAATTTTAAACTACTTGGGACAACAAAATAAGTAAATAAGATTTGTACAATGTACATCACAGTCAATAGAGATAATTTAAATCCCAAAAAACCTTTTCAAATATTACGGTCCTAAATTATCATATTTATTTTTAGACTATTCTATGTGTATCAAAAATTCTGGCATATAGCTTCATCAAAGATTTACCCCTATTTATAGGGAGACTTGCTGAATATAAAATGGCATTTATGCACGCAAAAAGGTAATGATACTGGGATCAGACAGTTTACCACTTGAAATAAGAGTGGTTTCATCCCAATAAGGAAGAAACGGTGGGCACCCAATCTCACCTGGACCTTCCCCATTTGATCTGAAAATCTTCCAAGAACATCCGTTTCTACTCTCCTGCTTATTAGCATTATTGCAGTATCACCAGCTCAGTGAACATCTTCCCACCTAAGCTTCTCTAGGATCAGGGAACTCACTGAAATAGTACAAAAGCCCCTCAGCAAAAGAGAGGGCTCAAACAAGCATTGTGAAGGTCCTCATCAAAAATTGGAGTGGCTTTCCTTAGGCTGAGTGATCTTCTCCGGCTTTGAGGATTCACATATCTGAGCACTTTTCAGCTGAATATATAGCAAGGCAATAACACATTTTAATAGTTAGGATATTATACAAGGTGGCTTGTCTGGCTGCTCTGTCTGTTAGAATAGGATGCTGTTACCCTCCAGAAAGAATTCTGGGCTGTAGAAACCCTAAGTTAGGGACTTAGACTCTTTCTAGATAGAGAATGACAATGAATGATTAGAAAGTACGGTGTAGATAGTATAGATGTGTTATTAGATTGTCTCTAATGTAGTAGAAAAAGAGAATTAAAAATGTTTGGGGGAACTACAGAGAACACAGCAAAAGGAAAAGAAGTGAAATCAAGAAAAACCATTAAAAATAAATACATTGCTGAGACAACTGAGAGGAAGACTGTCACTTCATGAGTGCTGGGGGAAAATTCTCAGGATGTCCTAAGGAAGCATGAGAGAATGAAATCTCCTTAGCTTGGATGGAAGAGATGTACACAAGTCATGAGAATTACCATATTAAATCACTCCACCACTTCGAGGAAGCATCAGCTGTTGATATCCTCCTCCTCAATTTAAATAGATTATTCTGCATCATAGAACCTAATGTCTTGATGGACATAGTCAATTATTCTCCTATTCTTGTATTTGTGCTGGTGGGTGTTACAATGTGGCAACCTTACATGTTGAAGAAGATGAAAAAACACCCTACACCTTAAGGAATTAAAAATGTTTATCAGAAAATGCTGATTTGGTACAACTGAGATATTTTGCAGGGGTATGTTGATCTGTTAAAAGTGTAAATGTGGCTCTTGGGGACACAACTTAGTGGTGGACTTGGCATTGCTGGTTAATGGTTAGACTTGATCTTAAAGGTCTTTTACAGCCTACATGATACTATGATTCTATGGTTCTATAAAGACAGGCAAGTGGTAATGGAGGTAGTATCACTTTCATGGAAATAGGGGATAATGGAAGAAAGTCAACAGGAAACATCCATGTTAATGCTCTGGGGGGAGACATCAGGTGGTGTAAGATGGAATGAAAAGGCTTACTTCCATATTCTAGAGCTATCACCTCTAAGCAAGAATGAACCCTTGCGTTTATGTGAAAAAAACTTCTTAAGTTTGAACAGTATGAGACTAACAAAAAAACCCTCAGGACAATATTATTATGGAATGCCCTAAATTGATTTCTTGTCTTCATTTCCTACTTTATCTTTTAAACTGTAAAGAAAGAACATTAATTATTATATGAATATTACGATATTTACTATTTTATAGGCTACTGCTTATTAATATAATGCAATTTAATCCTAAAATACACAAGAACAAGATATTAATTTTCTCAATGAGAGGATTGAAGCCAACAAGATTCATTAACTTCCCAAGCACCCTATCAAGCAAGAAAAATTTTCCTTCTCAAAGTCTAACAAAATGTTTATTCATACTCTCAGATTGTCTCCTACTTACCTTCTGAGCCGAAGTGTTAAAATCAAACACACATCCTCACATTGCACTTCAGCATTAGGTAGGCAAACAGAAAATCTTTGCATAGAACAGAGCACTAGAAAATCACAGACAACACTCAGACAATACTTTAGGAGATGTTTCTAAATGACAAAGAAGCAGAGGGTGATACAGTATGCTTCTCCTTAAAATACTGATCCCCTCTGCCCTGCCAGCTTTCCTTCAAGAAAAAAAAAAGTAGATGTGGGGACATGGTTTAGTGCTGAACACAGCAGTTGGTTGAACTTGATGATCTTAGAGGTCTTTTCTAACCTTAGCCATTCTGTTTCTATGAGTCTGCCATGACATCATTGCTAGTTATAAAGCAATCAGCTCTTTGCCAGTCAATAAACTGTTATGAAGTGGGTTTTACTGTCACCAATGCCAACTGGATATATAAAACCCTACCAGAACAAAATGCTGATGTTCAGTACCTCTGTAGCAACATAATAAATGTCTGCAAAACATGCAGGTGATTTCTGACATAATTTTAAAGAGGATGTAATTGGAGTACGTGCTCTTTCAGGTAGCAGTAGTTGTCATGAAGGGTTAAGCTGAGCTTTAGTTTCATACACTTACATTTAAGAATTTAGTTGCCTAATCATATTTACTTACTGTCATCTAAAATACTCTTGTACATCCTCCAGCTGCCACGATCAAAAGAAGCATCTCTTGTAGATACAGAGATATCATGTGGTGTCTCACACACGCTAAGATGTTTCACACACAGCTGGATGCTAATGTTTTAGCATGTGAACTCAGCCATTATCCATGGTATTTCATGGAGATGAGGGAGCTGTTAAGCTCACCCTAGCAGCAGACATTTGGTCGGCACAAGAGCTCTCCATGTGGCAGGTCTAGGTGTCTTCTTCATGCTCCAGAATGCATTGGCTGTGGACTGGAGGTTCAATTCAGCCATTTGAACTTGAGCATCCAAGACCAGTCAGTGACCCTGTGGGGTATCAGTGGCACTTTGCTGGTCATGGCTTTCCCCAGGCGTTTGCTCTTCTTAGAACAGAGAGAGTCTGTTGCTATTTTATTCTACCCCATGTGCCAGAAAATGTCTGGCTGAAATAGTGTGAAATACACCAAACTGTAGAAAAATGGCAATTCTTAGAGTGTTGGATTGGATTAGCTTATTCTTAGACTTTTTCCTTTGTCCTCAAATATCATAAATAATAGACAATTGCTCTCTGCTATATTATATTTTAGTTGAAAACTGTTAGGTTTTCTTATAAATTTTACTGCGTTTTCCCTAATTCACATAAGGAGAAATAAAATCAAATAGTTCACTATACTGTACATAAAAACCTGCAAAATATTCTTTGTGTGTTTTAAGCCCAGGGTCATCTGTTTCTTATGGTATGAACTTTTCAAAATTTATTTCACATTGATCTTGTTCTCTATCTAAAATGTTTTAAAACTATCTCAGTATGCAAAGTACTATTAATGTATCCTTCATGCTAATAGTACAATTTAAATCACAATAATTTATCCTTCATGCTAATAGTATCATTTAAATCACAATTTTAATAAATTAATTTGAAGGAAAGTAGGCATGAATCTCCTCTCACTTATAATAATTTTACACTGAAATAACCTCACTGACTTTATGTATTTGCTTTTGAATTGTACTACAGTGAAAAAAAGAAACAGGCAATGTGTCTTTCTTCAATATCTGCTGAAGTAAATAATTATCAATGCAGTGTAAAGATTTATGTTGGATGAGTCAGAATACATGCTCTAGCTCGTACATGAATGATTTTTACTTTGAGCAGATAGACCTTTTCCAAATCAGTTAACAATTATGCAGTTTTTCATATCTTTGTTAAACATGCTTTTCTATTAAAGTTTAGCATCCCTTGGGCAAACAATAATTATTTGATATGGTTTCCTGGTTAAACAAAGTTGTAATTTCAATTAGGTTAAAAAGTAGAAAAACCTAAGATAAGACCCTCAGGCGTAAACAAAATTTATTAACACAGTTATTATAACTTAACTTTGGCTTTGAAACACTAATCATGTAGTTACTACCATATTTATAGTTTTGCACAGTGAAATAATATGAATCTATTCATTAAAATTAAGACCTCAAGATTTCAGAGGAACAATAATTAGCAAAAGTCAAACATGATAGTTGCAATCTGATAAAAATATTAAAAATATATTTGAAAACAAGTTACAGAATAATTTTAATATTTCTTTTGATGGACTCTTCTGCTTAAAGAGAAATCACACCTTGATCTATTTTAATGCAACCTTACACCTAGAAAATGAAGGTTGAATTTATCAGGTCATATGAAAGGAAATAGCTTGTCATGTGATAACTCTGATGTATTACTTTGTAAATGAGTACTTTAGTGATTTGCAGAAACAGACTAAGAAAAACTTGTCTTTTCACAAATGACATTTAAAATATACTACAAATATTATCCTGTGAACTTAATCTGGCCTTTGAACTTAATCTGGCCACTTCTGTTAAGGACAACAAGAAGAGTTTTTATAAATACAACAATAGCAAAAGGAGGGGCAAGGAAAACCTCCATTCTTTGTTGGACACAGAGGGGAACATAGTTACCAAACACAAGAATAAGGCTTCTTTGTCTCCGTTTTCAACAAGAAGACAGGTTGTCCTCCTGGCTTCCTGAGCTGGTAGACAGTAGTGGGGAGCCAAATAGACCTCCTGTTCTCCAGGAGGAAGAAGTTAGTGATTTGCTGAGCCACTTGGATCCTCACAAGTCTATGGGACCAGATGGGATGCATCCCAGGGTGACAGAACTGGCAGAAGAGCTCTCCAAGCTGCTCTCTATCATTTACCAACAGTCCTGGCTCACCGGGGAGGTCCCAGATGATTGGAAGCTGACTAATGTGACAGCCATCCACAAGAAGGGCTGCAAGGAAGACCTGCAAAATTACAGGCTTGTCAGCCTGACCTCAGTGCCTGGCAAGGTTATGGAGCAGATCCTCCTGAGTGCAATCACACAGCACCTACAGGATGAACAAGGGATCAGAGCCAGCCAGCACGGGTTTAGGAGGGGCAGGTCCTGTCTGACCAACCTGATCTCCTTTATGACCAGGTGACCTGCCCTGGTGGATGAGGGGAAGGTTGTGGATGTGTCTATGGGTTCTGTCTAAGGCTGTGGTCTTCAGCAAAGCCTTTGACACTGTCTCCCATAATATACTCCTGGAAAAGCTGCAACCCATGGCTTGGACAGGTGGCCTCTCTGCTGGATTAAGAGCTGGAGGGCCAGGCCCAGAGAGTGCTGGTGAACGGGGCTGCATCCAGCTGGCGGCCGGTCACTAGTGGTGTCCCCCAGGGATCAGTGTTGGAGCCAGTCCTGTTTAACATCTTTATTGATGATTTAGATGAGGGGATTGAGTCCATCATTAGCAAATTTGCAGACGATACCAAGTTGGGAGGGAGTGTCGACCTGCTGGAAGGCAGGAGGGCTCTGGAGAGAGACCTGGATAGGTTGGAGACTTGGGCTGACTCCAACAGGATGAGGTTCAACAAGGCCAAGTGCCGGGTCCTGCACTTTGGCCACAACAACCCCCTGCAGCACTACAGGCTGGGGACAGAGTGGCTGGAGAGCAGCCAGGCAGAAAGGGACCTGGGGGTGCTGATTGACAGGAAGCTGAACATGAGCCAGCAGTGTGCCCAGGTGGCCAAGAAGGCCAATGGCATCCTGGCCTGTATCAGGAACAGTGTGGCCAGCAGGAGCAGGGAAGTGATCCTTCCGCTGTGCTTGGCACTAGTTAGGCCACACCTTGAGTGTTGTGTCCAGCTCTGGGCCCCTCAGTTCAGGAAGGACACTGAGGTGCTGGAGAGTGCCCAGTGAAGAGCAACCAGGCTGGTGAAGGGACTGGAGCACAGGCTCTATGAGGAGTGGCTGAAGGAGCTGGGGTTGTTTAGCCTGGAGAAGAGGAGGCTCAGGGGAGACCTCATCACTCTCTACAACTACCTGAAAGGAGGTTGTAGCCAGGTGGGCGTTGGTCTCTTCTCCAAAGCAACCAGCAGTAGGACAAGAGGACACATTCTTAAGCTGTGCCAGGGGAGGTTTAGGTTAGACATTAGAAAGAAATTCTTTACACAGAGAGGCCCATTGGAATGGGTTGCCCATGAGAGGTGGTGGAGTCACTGTCCCTGGAGGTATTTAAGAAGAGACTGGATGTGGCACTAAGCATGGTCTAGTTGACAGGGTGGTGTTGGGTCATGGGTTGGGCTCTATAATCTCAGAGGTCTTTTCCAACCTGGATGATTCTGTGATATATGTTACACACAGAGCAGAAATACAGTGGCTTTCACTTTGCAAGATAAAACCATATAAAAATACCAGACAGATCCCAAAGTTTTCATAAATCTAACTCATTACAGCTCAGACTAGAATATCGAGAATTTTTCAGCCTCAAACAGTGTGCAATAGAAACATTAAATACTTCAGAAAAAGATGCATCAGTACAGTTCCAATCACTAATGGTTTTAAAATTAAATAAACACAGACATATTTACATATTTTTTAATATATATTATTTTGTTGTTAAAATTTCTTACTGATTATTAATTGGAAAAGGTCAGAATATCTTCATATTTCTATTTCTTAAAGAGGTAAAATTAGAACTTGTGTTCACACATAATGATGGATTTAAAAATGCCATTTCTATTGTGCTTTTCTTATGGGTATTATTTGAGCATTTCTTAAATGGTTACAAACCTGTGACTCGAAGCTTATCTGTGCCAATTACAACCTCATTTTCATCCACTGTAAAAAGTGGCTTTCCATCCTTTGAGTTGATCTGAAATTGCTGACCGTGGAATTCTACCATTTTAGGACCTGCAAAGCACAGTAGAATAATGGAATAATGACATCATCTTTCTTCAATTTTCTATATAAATTGTTAATAATTTTAATTGGTGTCTTAATAATTTAGTGACTCATTCCAGTACACTAAAGATCATGAAGCACCCAGATATTCTAAGTATAGTAGCCTTTTAAGTACTGAAATTGGATTAGTCTATTTACATGAGCTAACTTGTTGTTCAAACTGTGCCTGGAGTCATGCTTTATAGTTGGGTTTCCAGGGAATTTAGGAAATCCCTCACGAATTGATCAAGACAAACATTCATGTTCTTGGTGTTGAAACTGCTTTGATCAGTATGAGTCTAGCATATTTTTCTTTTTTCTGAAACATAAAAACAAATTATCAAAGTCTTTGCAGCATCATCCCTTTTGATTAGGGAGGTTCAAATGCTTTAAAATTACAAACATCTCATGTAAGAACAAGACCCTCAGCTCTTCAAAACAAATGTCAGTTTAGCTACACATATCTAGCAAAAGATACTTATTATGTTCTTAAAAGAGTTTCAAGAAACGATGAGAACATTTGCAATTGATTCTGGTACTCCAAGAGTTAAAATAATTGTGCACAAGAGAATCTGCATATTTCCAGATCCTAAATTCACTAAAAGATCATGTTTTACAGTGTTGGCTTGGTAAGTGGATAAAAATCAAACCCTTTATATTTCCTTTTCTTACAACCCTATCAATTCACACCACATAAGTTTGAATATCTATTTCATGGAGTTGTCATCTAAATCTATGTTCAGAATTAAAACTACAGAGAATGGTCAAAGCAGTTGAGACTCCTTTTTCAGCAACTTTTAATAATGGTATTTCACAGACTATCCATGTGACCAAGAAGCATTGAACTGCTTCCTTCCCATTAAGAACCTGTCTTACCATGTCTACTCCTCTAAGTGTTAAATATATTCCAGGCAGTAATTCTCAAAAAGCATGGGAATTTTTCTTTTTGTTAGACCTTATGTTAAATTAGCTCTGTTGTTTAGAACATGGTGCTAATAATGGAAGGTCATGGGTTTGATCCCCATATGGACCATTCACTTAGGAGTTGGACACGATGATCCTTGTGAGTCGCTTCCAACTCAGAATATTCTCTGATTCTGTGAAAATGGCATTAGGTGACAGATGATTGATAGTGCTAAGAAGAACATGCAGGTATTTCACAAAATCTGCATGGTAGCTGGTACAACAGATGCATACCATAAGGTTCCAAAAAATTCCTTATTGTTTCAGTAGATGCAAAGTAATTGCTTTCAGTAGCCCATCAAGCACAGAAACGGTTATAGAAACCAAAATGTCCTAAACCAGGGCAATAATTTTAAGGTGTAAACTCCAATATTGATTCTACTTGAAAATGGTCAGGATAGAGGGATGAACTCTGTGTTATGTTAAGCTCTGTTGCACATGTGCACCCAGGTACAGCCTTGCAGACCTCACTTTAGCTCTTCCCTGAAGTTACTATGAAGCACATGACTTAATTTCTGCAAAAAGTGATATCAGAAAATATCTTTGTTCAGTGAAAAGGTATTAAACAGTATTTTTTTTTTTACAGTAAAGAAGAAGTTCTGGGTAAGTGAGGCAATCTTGTCAATGCCTTCCTAGAAAATCTTGGTTAAGGTATTTTATTTAAGGTCCCTTCCAAGGCAGGCCATTCTATGATTTTATGATTGTTCCTGTTTGTGCCCAGCAACAGTAACAAAACCGTCTATTTATGTAGTGTAGCCAGATCTTTCTGTATTCAAACAGATCAAAGGCCTGAATAAACTGAATATTACCAACTTTACTGGTGTTGCAGGGGCTGGTTCCTCATCCTTCTCGTTCATCTAATCCCATGATTTTTAGAGCCAGATTTAATAAAGGAAAAACTCTGCAAGCACTGAGAGCACTCACTGAACATTACATACTTTCCAAAGGAGCCTTAACTTGTCTCTCTTTGAAACTACAACTCATGGCCTTGCCCGTGCTGGATTTCCATCCAGATTTCTCTCCCATTTGATCTCTGGACCTTGCACACTTCAATAAATTTTTAACAAGAATCTTCAGGTCCACAGTTTTCTCAACAAAAATGTCCCCGTAAAGTGGGACAATGACTGCCCTATAGACAATCTTCATTATCAGAGAATAGTATGGATAATAATTGATGTATTTTATATCTTTAGAGGGGGTAGTAGGGTAAACAAAATTCAAGTGTATGTTTTATTCATGCTAGAGATTAGACGTCTCAGTATATGTGGAACAAGTTTCAAAAAGGAATAATAGGCTTTTACACAAATGGGAATAAATTTATGTAATGAAAAGTAGCCATTAATTTCTCTTAGTTGTATTCCACAATACACATACACTAGTTATATTGCAATAAGACTAATAGTATTGTGATCCCAGTGAGGTTAATTTTCAACTCATAAACAGCAGCCAAATTCAGTATCTGAAACTTTAATCTCCTAATGCCTACATGTGTTTTGATTGCCATCCTAGTATATTAACTACATATAAGTCAACTAATACTATATAATCATATTTATTGATAAAATCCCACAATTAAAAATTCAACCTGACTGAAAGCAGGTTATAGAAGAGTATTAATTTTCCACTTACTGACAGATGGGTCTTGCAAAAACAACTGACATACTGCTAAATGGTCTTCCTTTCCATTTTTCCTCCTCACTCTTGACTCCTCTAAGGGTTTTCTAGGGAAGGAAGTTCTTTTATTTACTGAGTCCATTTCAGTTGAAAAGCATTTAAATAAACTGCCTTCTACTGCTACCCAACCTTTGAATTCCAAGCCAATACAAATATAGATGTACAAGACTGAAAAGGATCTTCTATAAAAAATGGGGCCTGCCATAAAATACATATTCACAAATGCTTAATAGCAATGAAATTTGGAGAGTCTGAGCTTTGAAGAGCCTGCCTACATGTTACCAGTAGGCAGACTCCTCAAATACAGTTAGTTCTGCCAAATACTACTTTAATATATAAATATAAGTATACTTCTAACGTGTCTTTAGAACTTTCAGAAGACAAGGCTTTCCAACACTGGATTTATTTGTTTGGGTCTTTTATTTTCTTATTCTCTCTTGTTACCCATCATTTCTGATAACCTATGGCTGTCAGCTATTTTGTATGCTTTGCTCTTCTCCTACAACCTAGAATCATTGAAGTGTTGAATCCTGAGGACCTTGGGGTATTCCTATACAATTTAATTTTTTAGCTAATTTTTATTAAAGCACCTTAAAATAAGATCTCATTAAAAGTTTATTAAAAATGTAACACTCCTACAGAGTCAGTTCTCATTCCACGAGTAATACAATACAATACTAATAAATGTAAAGTCATTAGTTTCAGAAAGATAAAATTAGTCATATTTTCATATGGAATGGTATGTGAATATTTCATTAGTATTGGTATTTCACTAGAACAAATGCATTATTACAGAAAATACGCAGCATGTTGCATGTATACATTTTATGTCCATATCATACGTCTCTCATTGCCTTGAATAACAACTGTAATACATCAATAGAACATTTGCTGCTCTTGTTCCCTCTTTTTCTCTCAGTTCTCCTTTTATGCAATGGATAAATGAAACAATGATGTCCCCTCAGAACAAAATAAGAATTCCTTACTGTCAGTGTTGCCTAAACTTTGTTGTTCTCTGTGATTGAACAGAAGTCTAGAGATCTTAAAAAATTGGTTCTCCATGATGGTTAGACACTGATCATGCAGACAGTAGCGATCCAGCTAGTGTTAGGTATGTAGGTGATAGCACTTTCCACTCTCAGAGTGATTTAGCTAATGCAATGTCTTTATCCATCTAGGTATTAGCCATATAGAATGTTCTTTTTAAATATAAAACCAAGAAACTCATGAAATATTTCACTGCAAAACGGGCATGTAGAAACGACAGTAGGAACAGGAGATCACGTTTCTCACACAATAACTTGACAAAAATGCTATGGTGTCACCTTTTTTCTCAGGCTTAATGAACACAGAATTTGTTGTATGATAGTAACTTCAACAAGAAAAGGTGAAACACACAGTCCTCAGACAGATAAGGTGAAAAGGAAAGTACTAAAGGAGGTGAGGCATGATAATTTGAAACCCTGTATGAAGAAAGAACAGCTAACATGAGTCCCTCATTCCTGAGCAAATACTTTAACGACTCTGTCATCAGTATAATGGATGTTCTTTTTCCTCCTTTTTTTTAAAAAAAAAAAAAAAAAGAAAGCCATGAGCTTATTTATCATAAGGTCAACTCCCGAACTGTGATTCAGGAGTATTCTAAGCATACGTATGGGATCTGGGCACAGGACAATGTGAGAGGATCAGTTAAACATGTGGGGCATGACTGAGTTGACAACATAACTCTCTGGTGCATTTACATACTTCTGCCTGGCCTTCAGCTTATTTTTGATGTCCTAGTGCATCTAGGACTTCTACATCAGACTAGAAAGTCTGATATGGGGTCTGTAGGCAACATGAGCCCTTTCAGAGCTGAAGGTTGGGCAAGATGGAACCACAGAAGAATGCAAGCCAGAGGTAACCTCTGGAAGTCACCTGGTCTCACCTACTAATCACATCAAGGTCAGCATGCTTGGAAGTTAGATAAAGGTTCTCAGGGTCTTATCCAGGTAAAATTTTCATACCTCTGAGGAAGGGAATTTAACAGCCTCCCTGGACTACCTATTCCCATGGTTATCCATTCCAAAAGTGGTACTTCCCCCCACCCATCTATCCAGTTGCATTTTGCCTCCCTGCAACCCATGACCATTATCACTTTTGCCCTTTTGCTGTGCACCCCAAGAAGAATCTGAATTCCTACTAGCAATAGAACAAGGGGAAATAGCCTCAAGTTGCACCAAGGGAGGTTCAGGTTTGATATTACAAAAAACGTCTTCACTAAAAGAGTGGTTAAGCGTTGGAACAGGCTACCCAGGAAAGTGGGTTCAAAAAAGTGTTCAAAAAATGAGTAG